TACTCCATAACACAGAATAAGTTTCATTTATTCTCCGTCACGCAGGATGATTTTGTTCCGTCATGTTCCGTCACTAGATAATTTTCCTGTCGTGCTTCATCACTCAAGATAATTTTCCTGTCATTCTTCGTCACGCCTGATGATTTTCCAATCATAATCACGCATCCGTCACGCAGGATGATTTTCCAGTTGTAATCACGCATCCGTCACGCCTGATGATTTTCCAGTCATAATCACGCATCCGTCACGCCTGATGATTTTCCAGTCATAATCACGCATCCGTCATGCCTGATGATTTTCCAGCCATAATCATGCACCCGTCACGCAGGATGATTTTCCAGTTATAATCATGCAGGATAACATAACTGTCCTGTGATTCTAACGCATGGGTTCCCCCTTCCCCTGTTTATTTGGTCCTACTCTTTGTGGGTCCTTAGCTCTCCTGCGGTGCTTATTTTTCGTGTCTTAGACTTAACCCACCTCTTGCTCCTACCACTACTATTGCTTCTCTTCACTCCCCTTTATATCTCTTGTGCCACGGTAACTACCCCCCCCCCCTACTTTCTACTACCATTACTTCAGCTACTACTGCTTCCACTACCAGCATTATCACTACCACTACTTTTTCTTCCTCGTTCTCCCACGTCCCTGTCCCCTTCACATACAATACAATAGTTTTTATTTCTTTGCAAGTTTACATTAAGATTCTGTAGTTACAATAATGAGTTGCAGTGCAAAGAGAGCCACTATCATGCCATGGCATTATGGCCAGACTAAATTAATGGCTTACAGACTACTTAATACTAGAGAAATTGATCATAGTTTGTTTAAGTTGAACATTTGTTTTTATTTAAAGCAGACAGTAAGTTAACTCAAGTTACAATCTGGGGGATATTACATTGGGACAATTTGAAAGTATTTTGTAGGTTGTGTATATCAATAGTAAATATTTAAGTTATATTATTGAAATATAATATTGAGCTTTGGTGAAAGTAGTTTACAGTATGAGAATGATACAATATGATGTAAGGTAGTATAGTTTTGTGCAGGTATTTATATTACAGTGTAGTAGTATTAAGTTATGTATGAACTTTGGGTATTTAAATTTTGAAGTGTTAAGATTTAGGTAACTGGGAGATCTTTTGGCAAATTTAAGTACTGAGTATTGAATATTTAGTTTAGGGTGAGTAGATGGTTTTTGAGAAGAGTCTTTAATTGATGTTCAGACCGGGTTACTGGTAATGAGTTCCAAATTTTAGAGCCCTTTATGTGCATAGAGTTTTTACACTGTGATGTGGACACAAGGTACATCAAAATGTGATCTGTGTCTTGTGTTATGGTCGTGCGTCCTATTAAGATTGGTGAAGAGAAGTTTGAGTAAAGGGTTTATGTTTGAGTGTAGTGTTCTATGTATGTAGTAGGCACAAGAATAAGTATCGATGTTCTTTACAGTGAGTAGTTTTATATATACCGCGTGAGAGGGGAAGAGAGAGTGAGACCAAATTAATATTTGCATAAATAACTTACTACGATTGTGACCAGATGTAAGGGGTGCCCCCGCCATAGGGCTGTAAGAAGACACTCCACTTCCAAGTTTATTCTCTATAAGGATTACAATGCTGAGTTTACAGAATTTGGTTATTGTGTGGTTTACATGTAGTAAAATAATGATTACAGAGTGTACCACTAGAACACCTAGCATGGCTAGGCATTTCGGGTAGACAGATCTTAATTTTAAAATATTACAAATTATGAGGTAAGTTGGTATTATGGGTAAGTGACTAAATACTAGTTTGTGAGTTTAGCAATGTGAATGCTTTTGTTTTGGCACAGTATATAGTTTCAGTATGGGAGTATCACAGGATTCATTATTTTAAGATTGAGATTAATATTTCTGTTTATGGTCAAATGGGTGAGTGAGTGTAAGTGTGAACCACCAGGTGGTATTCGTGTAGTTAGTTGACGGGGTGTATCAGGGAGATAAGATGTTTTCTAATGGTAGTTTTGAAGGTGATGAATGTGTCTGCAGTTCTAGAGTTCTCAGGTAGGGTGTTCCAAATTTTAGGGCCTTTGACATACATTGAATTTTTGTAAAGGTTTAGTCGGACACGGGGAATGTCGTAGAGATGTTTGTGTCTGGTGTTATGCCTGTGGGTTCTGTCACAACAATCAAGAAAGCGTTTTAGGTCAAGGTTGATATTGGAATTTAAGGTCCTGTAGATGTAGATTGCACAGTAGTAAGTGTGGATGTACTGAACAGGGAGTAAGTTGAGATCTATGAAGAGTGGGGGGGGGGTGTTGCCAGGGATGGGATTTAGTGATTATTCTTACTGCAGCTTTTTGTTGGGTTATTATTGGCTTTAGGTGTGTTGCTGCAGTTGATCCCCAAGCACAAATAGCATAGGTGAGGTATGGATAAATAAGTGAGTGGTATAGTGTGAGAAGGGCATTTTGCGGCACGTAGTATCGTATCTTGGAGAGGATCCCAACCGCTTTGGATACTTTTTTGGTTATGTGTTGGATATGGGTGCTGAAATTCAGGTTGTTGTCAAGGTATAGGCCTAGGAATTTGCCCTCATTATGTCTGGTAATTAGAGTGTTGTCGATCTTAATGTTAATTTGTGCATCTCCTGCTCTGCTGCCAAACATAATAGTAGTAGTTTTGTCAGTGTTAAGCGTAAGTTTATTGGCTGTCATCCAAGTCGATATTTTGATCAGCTCCTCGTTAACAATGGTGTTGAGGGTGGCAAGATTAGGGTGAGAGATGACGTAAGTCGTGTCGTCAGCAAAGAGAATGGGTTTCAGGTGTTGGGATACGTTTGGAAGATCATTGATGTATATGAGGAAGAGCAGGGGAATAAGGACACTTCCCTGCGGAACTCCAGTATCAAGTGGCCGTGTTGTTGATGCTGTGTCTTTAATGGTGACATACTGATACCTATTAGTAAGGTAAGATTTGAAATAAGCAAGCGCATGGCCTCAAAAGACTTACTGTGCCCTTGTCATAGGGCTTCCCCTGCCATAGGGTTGTAAACGATAAATAACAAAAAAGGCACAATACCGTGACTGGAACGATACGCAAATAACCCGCACATAAAAGAGAGAAGCTTACGACGACGTTTCGGTCCGACTTGGACCATTGACAAAGTCATACGATATAAACGTACTAGACGAATGCTCACCGGGCCCCTGCCATAGAGCTGTAAACTGTACAGCTGTATAGTCCTTGTGGCTTAGCGCTTCTTTTTGATTATAATAATTATAATAATGTAAACTGTACATTTGTAAATGGTTTATCTGGAGAGGGTTTCGGGGGTCAATGCCCCCGCGGCTGTCTGAGACCAGACCTCTTGGTGGATCATGGTCTGATCAACCAGGCTGTTACTGCTGGCCGCACGCAAGCTAACGTACGAACTACAGCCCGGTTAGTCAGGTACTGACATGTGTCTAATTTATTAACATGTCGGTTCTCTGAACCATTTATCTATATTCCTGTCAGACACAGCAATATCTTGGGATCTTAATACAGTGAATTCTTCACTTGCCTAACCTGTATACATGACCTACTTCCACTTGTGGATTTGTCCACTGTGATATCGCCAACGACTGCTTCACCTCACCTATCTACAGTATATAAGCCACTACGCACAAATGCTGTATTCCTTTCGAGAAATATGTACTGATTATATCGACTCCATGCTGAGGGATTATCTCAAACGCCTGAGCTTCACCATTCTTCTTTGTATAGGATCGGTACATAATAATATCTTTATTTACTACAAGTACATGTACAAGGTATGTTAGGTAAGACACATATGCAACAGTTAGGTATCTTTATTTCGAAACGTTTCGCCTACACAGTAGGCTTCTTCAGTCGAGTACAGAAAAGTTGATAGAAGCAGAAGATACTTGAAGACGATGTAATCAGTCCATCACCCTTAAAGTTTTGAGGTGGTCAGTCCCTCAGTCTGGAGAAGAGCATTGTTCCGTTGTCTGAAACAATATGAAGTTGAAGTGACAGGATGGAGCCTTTTATAGTGCCAGGAGGTGAGACGTAGGTTGCGTTGGGAGGGCAGGTCCCTCTCAAACCCAGCCGTTCTCCCAACGCAACCTACGTCTCACCTCCTGGCACTATAAAAGGCTCCATCCTGTCACTTCAACTTCATATTGTTTCAGACAACGGAACAATGCTCTTCTCCAGACTGAGGGACTGACCACCTCAAAACTTTAAGGGTGATGGACTGATTACATCGTCTTCAAGTATCTTCTGCTTCTATCAACTTTTCTGTACTCGACTGAAGAAGCCTACTGTGTAGGCGAAACGTTTCGAAATAAAGATACCTAACTGTTGCATATGTGTCTTACCTAACAATCTGTCGGTATTTTATACCATTTTAATGTTCATGTACAAGGTATACAGACCATAGCTGACATCAGTGACATACTACTATATAGAAAGCTGCTTGTTATGCTGATGGGTATGACTTGGACTTGCCTAGCATGGGTCAGTAGGCCTGCAGCAGTTCTTTTTATGGTCCTGCTTTCCATGGATTAATTAAAAACCTCTTACTTTTCCTCATTCTTCGCTGCCTTTCAAGGAGTAATTAAAACCATCTTTCCATCCCACTTTCATTACACCTCACAAATATACCTCCTCTAAAATAACACTACTAATAACATTACTGCCATTTTGAAAGAAGACGGCACTGAGAGACTATACGTGAGTATTTCCGCTGCCATAAGGTGAAAATCGCAATATTAAGTGGCGAAAATAAATCTCAAAGCCGTGAGTGTGGAGGCTGCCGCGTTGGTCGACATCCCGACCCTTGCAGTGACTTTAGCCTAGGCTTCACTTACAATTTCGTTAAGACAAACAGATTTTTGCTGTTAGCCTAGTACTATATAGATAAGTTTAATGGCTTAGCTAAACTTAGATTCAGTACAGTTTAATGTAACAGGTTAACGTTTAGTAGCTTAATAAGACGACGATGCAGGGATACGGATATTGCTTAATTTTCAGTCATAATCTGCCTTTTTGATGAGTTCCTGACACAATGCAGCCTCCTCCATTATCCCAATTTTCTCCACTGCACATGGGCCGGAGTTTTATCTGCTATCGTGATGTGAACAAGGCAATAGACAAGCACAGGGAGATCTATGGGCTGCGGTTGGTGTTAAAAAAGGCAGTCAAACTAGAAAACTACTGCCTCACCGTCGACCAGATGCGGGACCTCAATTTCCGTTTGAAATATGGCGAATTAGATTACCAGTGTTCTGTCGATAATGGGCGGCCAGGACGACCAGGAAACGAGTAAGTCACATCATATATATTTTGCTTGAGTGTAGCTATAATTTACCAGTTAGAAGTGGTGCTCAATCCCAGTTACTTCCACCCACTCAAAAACCCTTTGTTTTTGGCCTTTTCTCGGGGTTTTCGGGGAATTTTATTTTATAGGATATTGGAGGCTCCTGGATGGGGCTGTGGGGGTTGCAACCCCACAATACGCCCCTCCCCCACTCCCACACCACCAAAATTACTGAAAGAAAGGATAGAATGATAAGAAATTAAGAGTTTGTTAGTGAGGTGAATGACTGTGTTGATGCCCCGCCCTTCTCCATCTTGCGGAGGCTGTGGGGGTCACTTTACTGTGACTGGGGTCACTTTACTGTGACTGGTGTCACTTTACTGTGACTGGGGTCACTTTACTGTGACTGGTGTCACTTTACTGTGACTGGGGTCACTTTACTGTGACTGGTGTCACTTTACTGTGACTGGTGTCACTTTACTGTGACTGGGGTCACTTTACTGTGACTGGTGTCACTTTACTGTGACTGGTGTCACTTTACTGTGACTGGTGTCACTTTACTGTGACTGGGGTCACTTTACTGTGACTGGGGTCACTTTACTGTGACTGGGGTCACTTTACTGTGACTGGGGTCACTTTACTGTGACGGGTCACTTTACTGTGACTGGGGTCACTTTACTGTGACTGGGGTCACTTTACTGTGACGGGTCACTTTACTGTGAGGTCCTTACTTGGGGTCACTTTACTGTGACGGGTCACTTTACTCTGGGGTCACTTTACTGTGACTGGGGTCACTTTACTGTGACTGGGGTCACTTTACTGTGACTGGGGTCACTTTACTGTGACTGGGGTCACATTACTGTGACTTGGGTCACTGTACTGTGACGGGTCACGTAGCTGTGACTAAGGGTCACTTTACTGTGACGGGTCACTTTACTGTGACTGGTCACTACTGTGACGGGTCACTTCACTGAGCGTCACTTTACTGTGACTGTCGGGGGCCACTTTACTGTGACTGTGGGGTCACTTTACTGTGACTGGGGTCACTTTACTGTGACTGGGGTCACTTTACTGCGGCTGTTTGATCACTTTACTGTGACTGAGGTCACTTTACTGTGGCTGTTGGGAGTCACTTTACTGTGATTGTAGGGGTCACTTTACTGTGACTGGTGTCACTGTATTGTGGCTGTGGGGGTCACTTTACTGTGACTGAGGTCACTTGTGGCTGTGAGGGTCACTACTGTGACTGAGGTCACTTTACTGTGACTGGGGGTCACTATTGTGATGGGGTCACTTTATTGTGGCTGTGGGGGTCACAGTGACTGTCACCTTATTGTGACTGTGGGCTTCACTTTACTGTGAGTGGGGTCACTTTATTGTGACTGGAGTCATTACTGTGATGAGGTCGCTTTGTGACTTGGGTCAATACTGTGACTGGGTCACTTTATTATGACTGGGTGTCACTTTACTGTGTGAGGTCACTTTACAGTGACTGGGGTCACTACTGTGACAGGTCATTTTATTGTGGCTGTGGAGGACGCTGTATTGTAACTGGGGTCACTTTACTGTGTGGGGTCTGTTGTGACTGGGGTCACTACTGTGACTGGGGGTCACTTTACTGTGACTAGAGTAATTTTACTGTGACTGGGGTCATTTTGTGATGGTCACTTTTGTGACTGGGGGTCGCTGTACTGTGACTGGGGTAACTTTACTGTGATTGTGGGCCACTTTACTGTGATTGTGGGTCACTTTACTGTGGGTGTGGGGTCACTTTATTGTGGCTGTTGTGTCACTTTACTGTGACTGTGGGGTCACTTTACTCTGGGTGTGGGGTCACTTTACAGTGACTGGGGTCACTATTGTGGCTGTGGGGGGTTACATTACTGTGACTGGGTCACTTTACCATGACTAGGGTCACTTTACTGTGGCTGTTGGGTTACTATACTGTGGATGTCAGGTCACTTTACTGTGGCTGTGGGGTCGCTTTACAATGACTGGGATCACTATTGTGGCTGTGGGGGTCACTTTACTATGACTGTGGGGTCACTTTACTGTGGCTGTGGGGTCACTTTACTGTGGCTGTGGGGTCACTTTAGTGTGACTGGGGTCACTTTACTGTGACTGGGGACACTTTACTGTGAATATTGGGTCACTTTACTGTGACTTTGGGGTCACTTTACTGTGAGACTAGTCACTTTACTGTATATATGGAGTCACTTTACTGTGGCTGTGGGGGTCACTTTACTATGGCTGTAAGAGTCACTTTACTATGGCAGTGGGGGTCACTTTACTATGGATGTGTGGGTCACTTTACTATGCGGGAGTCACTTTACTCTAGTTGTGGGGTCACTTTACTATAGTTGTGGGATCACTTTACTATAGTTGTAGGGGTCACTTTACTGTGGCTGTGGGGATCTCTACTGTGGCAGTGGGTATCACTTTACTATGGCTGTGGGGAGTCACTTTACTATGGCTGTGGGTTTCACTATTGTGGCTGTAGAGGTCACTTTACTGTGGCTGTGAGGGTCACTTATGTGGTTGGGTCGCTTTTCTGTGGCTGGTGGGTCACTATTGCAGGTGTGGGAGTCACTTTACTATGGCTGTGGGAGCCATTTTTCTGTGACTGGAGTCACTGTTGTGGCTGTGAGTTATTATTGTGGCTATGGAGGTCACTTTACTGTGGCTTTGGTGTCACTTGTTGCAGCTTTGGGGGCTTCAGTATTTCAGGAGTGGGAATCATTTTACTCTGTTGCGGCTGTGGGTCACTTTATTGTGGCTGTGAGGGTCATTTTATTATGGCTGGGTGGGTCACTTCATTGTGGCTATGGGGGGTCACTATTGTGGCTGTGGGGGGTCACTATTGTGGCTGTGGGGTTATTTCCTGTGGCTTTGGGAGCCACTTTACTGAAGGAATCACTAAACTGTAGGAGTTACTTCTGTAGGTGACCTCTGCCCTCTCAAGTCATTTTACCTTAGGAGTCACTACTGTAGGAGTCACTTCACTTGGGGTCACTTTTCTTGGAATCACTTCACCAAAGTAGTTGCTTCACTGTAGGAGTTACAACACTGTTGGAGTCATTTTCCTGTAGGAGCCACTTCATGGTAGGAGTCACTTCACTGTTGATGTCACTTCACTCTAGGAGTCAGTTCATTGTAGGAGTGGCTACACTGTAGGAGTCACTTCATTATAGGAGTCACTTCACTGTAGGGGGTCACTTCACTGTAAGAGGGACTTCACTGATGGAGTCACTTCATTGTAGGAGTCACTTCACTGTAGGCATCACTTCATTGTAGGAGTCACTTCACTGTAGGCATCACTTCATTGTAGGAGTCACTTCACTGCTGGAGTCAGTGCAAGTCACTTCACTGTAGAGGCCATGTTAGAATCACTGCACTGTAAAAGTTACTTCATTGTATTTCTTCACTGTGGTAATATTTCATTGTAGTTTTGTGTCATTACTCTGTGGGAGTGAGTCACTTTGCTGTTTACAATAATGTTTTACCACTGAATACTTCATTGCTTAGTTAATCTTAAGTTAATTTTAAGCCTGCCCGTAATGCTATGCATTCAAGTGGCTTTGGCATGCTGCATTTAACTGTATTCTTTTCTACTTCTCTGTATCATGTTCAAATTAATAAATAAATAAATAAATAAATAAATAAATATATAAATAAATATATAAATAAATAAATAGCCACTTCACTGTATTACCTGGAGTTTACCTAGAGAGAGTTCTGGGGCTCAACGCCCCCGCGGCCTGGTCTGTGACCAGGCCTTCTGGTGGATCAGAGCTTGATCAACCAGGCTGTTACTGCTGGCTGCACGCAATCCAACGTACGAGCCACAACCCGGCTGGTCAGGTACCGACTTTAGGTGCTTGTCCAGCTTCTGCTTGAAGACAGCCAGGGGTCTATTGGTAATCCCCCTTATGTATGCTGGGAGGCAGTTGAACAGTCTCGGGCCCCTGACACTTATTGTATTGTCTCTTAACGTGCTAGTGACACCCCTGCTTTTCATTTGGGGGATGTTGCATCGTCTGCCGAGTCTTTCGCTTTCGTTTTGAGTGATTTTCGTGTACAAGTTCGGTACTAGTCCCTCTAGGATTTTCCAGGTGTATATAATCATGTATCTCTCCCGCCTGCATTCCAGGGAATACAGGTTCAGGAACCTCAAGCGCTCCCAGTTATTGAGGTGTTTTATCTCCATTATGCGCGCCGTGAAGGTTCTCTGTACATTTTCTAGGTCAGCAATTTCACCTGCCTTGAAAGGTGCTGTTAGTGTGCAGCAATATTCCAGCCTAGATAGAACAAGTGACCTGAAAAGTGTCATCATGGGCTTGGCATCCCTAGTTTTGAAGGTTCTCATTATTCATCCTGTCATTTTTCTAGCAGATGCGATTGATACAATGTTATGGTTCTTGAAGGTGAGATCCTCCAACATGATCACTCCCAGGTCTTTGACGTTGGTGTTTCGCTCCATTTTGTGGAAGGAATTTGTTTAGTACTCTCATGTTTACCATATTGGAGTAATTGAAATTTCTCATCGTTGAACTTCATATTGTTTTCTGCAACCCACTGTAGTTGACATGTCACTGTGGGCGTCATTTCCCTTGAAGGAAAAATGACTTCTCTGTGGGAATTGAGTTACCATAAGAGTCACTTCATTATGGGGTGGCATTTCACTGTGGGAGCCACTTTGCTTTAGAAATCACTTCACTGTGGCTGGGAGTCCCTATACTGTGACTGAATTATGTTTGAGTGTTACAATTATCACATGCTATATATGTATTTAAAATTGGTATTAATGCAGTTTCTTACATTCTTTAATTAACTGCCTCAACCCTTTTATTTAATAATTATTTTGCATTCCTTCTTTCTCCCACACTTGTTATTAATAAGTACTAGTGATTAGACAAATGTTATTAATTTTAACTGTGTGGTGTCACATTTTCTTTTTTTTTCCATGCTTTATCAAACTTTCCTAATTCAGTCATCCCGAAATTTACAGTTCATCATTTTAACTATGAAAAAAGATACAACACTTATTGATCTTTTACATCCCAGAACCTGTATTTTCTGTTAGTCTAGCTCTATAGTATAGCACTTCCCTGGATGGTTGCTCTTGAATTACACTGCACAATATTTAATAAATACTACTTTTTCAGTATCTACTGTCATTTTATTCATCTTTATTATTATTATTATTATTATTATTATTATTTATTATCAAAAAGAAGTGCTAAGCCACAAGGGTATTCATCTTTATTACACTTACTTTTTTTCCTTTTTTTCCTTTGTAAAAATTTACTCATAATGTAAACATAATACAAGCATTGATTTTTACCAGTGCTTCACAATGTGAAAAAGGAATAGATAAATTAGTCCAGATTAATTTGGCACATGAAGCAGATTACCAAGAAAATTACAGCATTGTATCTGCCTCCAGCGAACGCTGCCCTCGTCTTGTGAGACTCCGTCTGAGTCCGGATGCTCGCACCCTAGTTGTTTATGACACCCATGTACACGAAGCCCAAGCCAAGAGTCCAGGCCAGTTCCAGGTATGGTTTTTAAGTCTTGGTGTGTGATGTCAGCATGTTACTGTGGCATATCAAATTTGGGTCCATGAAATTTATTTTATTAATGTATAGTACCGTATTTGAACCATAAGTTTTTTAAACTCTTACATAAAACTATCCATTCGTATCTCTTGTAACCATAGTCCAACCTTTAGTGAATTAGTTTCTCCTAACTTAGCCAAAGTACAGAAGCTATTAAGATAAAATAACCATTGTCATGTAGGTAATGTCATAGTTATGCACACACAGTAACTTCTGTCACTGCATACATATTAAATATGTAATGTCACTTCACGCACCCATTACCTTCCTTGTTGCATGCACACATTGACTTCTGTCACTGCACACACAGTAGCTTTTGTCACTGCATATACTCTCTAACTTTGTTGCTAGGCACACACAGTAACTTATGTCACTATGTGTGCAGAGTATCTTCTATCTGTACTGCAATTACTATAACCTAAATTTATAAAAGGTCTCTATGGCAGAGTACAGTAAATAATAAAATGTTATTCAGCTTGCCAAACAAAGGGTTTGAACCCATGGTAAGTTAGTCCTAAAACTAGCAGTCCTAAAACTAGCAGACCAGTGCACTTTATGCTGTCATTAAAATTTTGAGTCTTTAATATAATATTATATTACAAACATTTCTCCTATAGTAAATTAGTAGACAAAACTGCACACACAGTAAAAGATCTTTTTCTGCTTTGATCCTTCTTTAAGTTTTTTACTGTCCAACACTTCACAAGTCCAAGAATATTTAGTTAAAGCACTGTTTTAAGTTAAATAGATTGCACTATATTAATACTATTAAGATCACATATAAATTGGAAGTGGAAAGGAGGAGGGGGTTGAGATTGTCCCTGGAAGGGTTGGGATTGTCCCTGGAAGGCTTGTGTCAGTATGTTAGACTAGAGTGAATGGAGATGGGTTTTTATGTCCTGATGTGCTGTTGAAGTGAGAGCAAAGTAACATTTTTGAAGGGATTCAGAGAAACCGGCTAGCGAGACTTTAGGCCTAGAGATGGAAAGAGCAGTGCCTGCACTCTGGCGGAGGGGTGGAGACCTAGCAATTGGAGGATAATCAGAATTATATGTCAGCACACTTCTAACAATACTGATTAAGTGAATGATGGTGAATGTCTTTCATGCTTTCGGCTACCCTGCCATGGCAGGTGGGAAAGACATCCAGCTCCTTAAGACATTTGTTAAAGTATGTATCGAAATACATACTATACAATCAATGTTTCTGTGAAAAAATCAATCGCCATCATCAGGATTCATTTCTTGAACATGGTATAACAGTATACAATATAGTATGCAATATACTAAATAAATTTATTATTGTTGATAAGTGTCATATATACTAAGATTTTTTCTTTTTTTTATACTATTCAGAGCTTGTCTCCTCCATGCCCTGTTCCTGAACCGGTGACAGTTATACCACCAGAGGCTCTAGTGTCCATATCTCCAGCTCAGAGAACCACAACACCGTCCACACCATGTTTACCTTTATCAGTCTCCCCAGTTGGCATCACTACACCAGAAGGACCACACACACCCATCTCAGTGGCAGCCTATGAGAAAATTACTGTAAAAATCAAGAAGTCTCAATTCTCCCCCAATGAAATGGTGGTTGTGGGTAGTGCCAGAGATGCACAGGAGCAATTTGAACTAAGGTACAGGATGAATTCATTTTATTAGTTTTTATTGATGAGCAGTAAGAAAACTTTATTGTACTAAAAGGGGAAAAAGTAGGAATCATTAATGGGTTTCTGATTGAAATAGCCAACCAACGGTAATAAAAATATGGAAGTCTTGCATGAAAGTTATTAAAAGTATGTTTTAATATTATTTTTTATCCTTACTCCAAAGAAAATATCCAGCAGTTGTCAGTGCCTGTGATATTCCACTACTGGACATAGTTGGAAGAGTTCGTTTTTGATTATGGATGCCTTGCTATTTTTAACTGACAGTTTCCTGCTAAGGTAAGGCTACTCAAAGAAGGAAACGTATCCAGCATCGCTGTTTTTTGCAGAACTGCATGGAAATTGCAATTGAAATTACCCACGTTTAGTTCATAATTTATTAATTTTATTGTATCTGTCACCAGTTGTGCTCCTTAGTTTCCCATGAGATTGAGCTCTAGCATAATACTACCATTTCCATTACATACTTTTATGTAGCACAAAAGAAGTATGTCTCACACCTTGCTGACACACTGTAAAATCTCACTATAGTGGTGGGTAGTCAACTTTCAAGAGCTTGTTTGAGTATGATACACTAATGAAAGCAGAGAAAATATCTAATTGACAATCAGAAAATCTGTGTTCTGAGTTTCTCTGGTGTGAGAGGAGGGCAACTGCTCCTTGTGAAGATATTAAATCAAAGCATTAGTACATTTGCAGAGTTCTGTCAATCTAAAATTTGCAAATCTTGGGCTCAATTTGCATTTCATTATAAATATTGCTTTAAATATTTCCTTTGAGCAAATTTTGAATGAATTCCTATGGTCAGTTTTTAAGAGTCCCAAAATATGGGCTTTGCATAGAGCCTGCAAATAATATTTTATTGGTGGGTTGCCATCACTAAAAATGAACAATCGAATTCAACAAATTGGGAGCCCCGAGAATGACCTGTAGCAATGTTTATGGGTTGTTAAAAGTTGTGTTATGGTGCAGTACTGGGATTATTTAACTTTTTAAGAGATGGATCAATGGCAGGAAGAGGAATCTGGAATGGGAGAAAATGTTGAATATAACATTACCATGCTTGAGTAAAAATAACAGCTTACTTACCTGATTCATGATGATGATATTTTGATGTATTTAACAGAAGAAAAAGAATTTTTTAATGTGGTGAGAATGTTTGAAGATGCAAAGAATTCTTCTAAAACCAATCCCTTTATAATATTATTGTAGTTTAGATGGAGATAAACTAAATTTTGGATTAATTAAAATATCTTGGAAGCAATGTGTGGTAAGCAGGGCTTTGATAACCTAAAAGTTACAAGCTAGTAAGATAAAGAGAGAGATGCATATTAACCCTTTCACTGTTGCAATCCCAGAAATTAAAAATGCTGACAGTGTCATGATTTAAAAAATAATAATAATAATTTTTTGTTCTGAAATGAGAGATAATCTTTTTCTGAAGATAATGACACCAAAACTGCAAAATTGGATGAAAATTTTATGGAATTACACAGGCACAAAGTTTGCAGTTGGCGCAGTTTACACATCAGCAACTTCTCCCACTTTGAGTCCTATTTTCAGCCAGTTTCATTGCTCAATTTGAACCATTCTCTGGCTATTTTGCAGAAATACCCTATGAAGTGCAAAAACTTTGATTTAAAGACATAGTCCAAAATAAACACTGTAGACAAACCATACCACAGGTGGGGTTTGATCTCACGGTAAGAGAGTCTCAAAACTCCAGACCGTCGCGTTAGCCACTGGACCAGCTAGCTTCCATAACATTCATCCAACTAGGTACATTTCTACACCATAGGAAGGTTAGCATAGGCACCACTGTGACCACAAAGGCAAGTTTTTTACAGACGAATCTCCCGCTAGCATGGCCGTGACGAACTCTAGCTCAAGTCCCCTCAAAGCCGTCAACATGACTCACGAAATCGTAATGACACGATTGCAAACAAACCATACCATGGGTGGGGTTTGATCCTGCGGTCAGAGAGTCTCAAAACTCCAGACCGTCATGTTAGCCACTGGGCCAGCTAGCTTCAATAAGATTCGTCCAACTAAGTACATTTCTACACCATAGGAAGGTTAGCAGTGGTGCCTATGCTAACCTTCCTATGGTGTAGAAATATATCTAGTTGGACGAATCTTATTGAAGCTAGCTGGCCCAGTGGCTAACGCGACGGTCTGGAGTTTTGAGACTCTGACCGCGGGATCAAACCCCACCCATGGTATGGTTAGTTTGCAATCGTGTCATTACAATTTCGTGAGTCAAACACTGTAGACATTCCACCCAGGATAACCCAAGAAAGTCAGTGTGTCATTGAGTACTGTCTGTCTGATTTCCATTGGGCCCCTCAATCTTGTCCCCCAGGATGTGACCCACACCAGTCGACTAACACCCAGGTACCTATTTGCTGCTAGGTGAACAGGACAACGGGTGTAGGAAACACGTCAAAATGTTTCTACCTGCCGGAAATCGAACCCGGGCCCTCTACGTGTGAAGGGAGAGCTTTGCCAGCCAGACCACGGGTGATGGGTGAGGATGTAATTTGTAGTCCTATTTGAATTGTGGTATCTTCACTTCTTGCAAATGAGCTATTAAATAAATGATATGGATAATTGTTCCTTCTTTGAGTCACCATACCTTGATGTGAAATGATAAACATGGTAAAAAACATTATTTTGTGAGACAGTATCTGGAAAAACAAATGAGAGTATTAAAATGACCACAGTGCACTACATGGAAAGAGAGGAGAAAAAATGATGAATCAAAAATACATAGAGTAAAGGTGGTGTGACACCCCCAAAAAAGTGAATGGATGTTAAAAATGATCTGTTGAAACAGAAAGTGCTGAAGGTTATACAGTAAACATTGTATTGATTAAGTTCTCTAGTAGTGTTGAACTGTAAATTTTTAGGGCTTTGTATTTCAGGATTTCTATTAAGCTGTTCCACCTCTTGTAAGTTTGCTGAGCTTTGCTGAATAGTATACTGTATTATTTATAATATTTCAGTAACTCAGACAATATTAATCTGTGTATGTGTTTTATTTTAGACTATAGCATTAGATATATTTTCAAGTACATAAATTATGCTTTTTGATTGCAAAATTAATAAGTTTATAGCTTTCATGCATATAATTTTGTTTTTATTTCCTTATGTTTATGTTTAGCCATGACTTGAGAGTTAATGCTTTAAAAGATAGTTTTTATTGTGCTTAACTTTTTTAGTGATGCTTGAATGGGCAGAGAAATTCCTAATGAGTAATGCATATGTAACAGTATAATGACTGATTGTACTATCATGGATTTTTCAACTAGGCTATTGACATTCGTGCAAAAGTGGATGGAGCGGTAAAAGAAAAAGGTTGAAGAGAAAGGATTAAGGAACTAAAGAGTGAGAAATGTGAATCTTTAAATTGTGTTTGATTTTTTTTTTTTTCAACAAGTCGGTTGTCTCCCACCGAGGCAGGTAACCCAAAAAGAAAGAAATTCCCAAAAAGAAAATACTTTCATCATCATTCAACACTTTAACCTCACTCACACATAATCACTGCTTTTGCAGAGGTGCCCAGAATACAACAGTTTAGAAGCATATATGTATAAAAATACACAATATATCCCTCCAAACTGACAATATCCCAAACCCCTCCTTTAGAGTGTAGGCATTGTACTTCCCATTTCCAGGACTCAAGTCCGGTAATATAAAATAACCGGTTTCCTTGAATCCCTTCACTAAATATTACCCTGCTCACACTCCAACAGCTCGTCAGGTCCCAAATACCATTTGTCTCCATTCACTCCTATCTAACACGCTCACGCACGCTTGCTGGAAGTCCAAATCCCTCGCCCACAACACCTCCTTTACCCTCTCCCTTGAACCTTTTTGAGGATGACCCCTACCCCGCCTTCCTTCTACAGATTTATACGCTCTCCATGTTATTCTACTTTGATCCATTCTCTCTAAATGACCAAACCACCTCAACAAACCCTCTTCAGCCCTCTGACTAATACTTTTATTAACTCCACACTGTGAAGGCTTACTCAGCCCTGTAACAACTTCAGTCAGTATTACTCAGGCTGGCTCCTCCTCAGGAAAATTAATGAATAGAAAAAGAACAAAAACTGACAAATATAAACACTTTATTATTTAGGAAATATGAAATATAAAACACTTAAATATGAAATACTGATCCTACATGAAAGAAAATGAAAAATTAAAAATATAAATGATATCTGAATTCAACGCTAAAACCTTGGGTGTCTGGTGTTGGTGACACTGCGTATTGTTGCAATAGAAGCCGTTGCTGATGATGTGGGGGGGTCGCAGTTTTTGGTGACAACCCACTGGCTCGTTTCTAGTGGCTATAAGTATTCTTTCCCGATGACAGGAGATCAGGTTCTTGACCGCTGTAATGATGGGGGTTATGTCCTGAATTCTTCATACAAGTGCACGGCAAGAAAATCCAATATGGGACGTCTCCAGGACGTTAGTCCGCTCCTTCAGTTTTTCTCGTTGATTGACAGGTGACCCTCTCTGTCATCCAAGCTGAAAAGATAGACAGGTTTACCCACTGCTTAAATAATCATCTCCATAAATAAGTACAATACCTAAAGACGTGGTGATTATTACAACAGTCAACTTAGAGCAAGGCGGGAAAAGGCTAAGTTTACTATTGGTCCAAAGTGAAGCTTTCAACCAATAAATCCACTAGAATACAAGGCAGGCATGTACTTACAGTAGTGTTGGGAGCTGTGAGTCGAGTGATTTACTGTTTGACCAGAGCCCCACATGTCACCTTTAGGGGGGGAAGAGGGAGGGGAAGGGATAGTGGGAGCTAGACTGACCCTACCTTAACAAGCAGCCAGCAGTCAAACTATCACTTTAGGGGTGGGGGAAAAAGGCGGGAATAGCGGGAGCTTGATTTACCCTACCTTAACAAGTAGCCGGCAATGAAACTATCACTTTCGGGGAGGGGGAAAAAAGGCGGGAATAGCGGGAGCTTGACTTACCCTACCTTAACAAGTAGCCGGCAATGAAACTATTGTTACTATATACTCCCTCGCTACTCCTCTATTGAACTTTTCCCTCACACACACACCTTCTAATTTCCACACTCTGAATTTTATGCATAATATTTACACCACACATTGCCTTTAGACAGGACGTCTCCACTGCCTCCAACCGCCTCGTCGCTGCAGCATTTACAACCCAAGCTTCACACCCATATAAGAGTGTTGGTACTACTATACTTTCATGCATTCCCTTCTTTGCCTCCATAGATAACATTGTTTGTCTCCACATATACCTCAATGCACTACTCACCTTTTTTTCCTCATCAATTCTATGATTAACCTCATCCTTCATAAATCCATCCGCTGACACGTCAACTCCCAAATACATCTGAAAACATTTACTTCTTCCATACTCCTCCTCCCCAATTTGATATCCAATTTTTCTTTATCTAAATCATTTGATACTCTCATCACCTTACTCTTTTCTATTTTCACTTTCAACTTTCTACCTTTACACACACTCCCAAATTCGTCCCCCTAACCTTTGCATTTTTTTCTTTAGAATCTCCCATAAGCACAGTATTATCAGCAAAAAGTAACTGTGTCACTTCCCATTTTGTATTTAATTCTCCATAATTTAATCCCACCCCTCTCCCGAACACCCTAGCATTTACTTATTTTACAACCCCATCTATAAATATATTGAACAACCATGGTGACATTACACATCCCTGTCTAAGACCTACTTTTACCAGGAAGTAGTCTCCCTCTCTTCTTCACACCCTAACCTGAGCTTCACTATCCTCATAAAAACTCTTTACAGCATTTAGTAACTTACCACCTATTCCATATACAGTGGACCCCCGGTTCGCGATGCTATCGGTATCCGATAAATCCGGTAACCGATGCATTATATCGCAGAAAATTTGCCTCGCTTCCCGATATAAAACCCGGTATGCGATGTGGTTCGTACGAGACGTGTCCATGTGTGGCCTGAACTGCCCCGTGTGTGCCAGTGTTTACAAGCCAGCCAGTGTGCATGCATCTAAGGATACATTCGGTACATTCCATATTATCCATATTATCACTGTTTTTTGGTGCCTGTTTTTGCAAAATAATCACCATGGGCCCCAAAAAAGCTCCCAGTGCCAACCCTTCGAGACCAAGGGTGCTAATGACTGTTGAAAGAAGAAAGAGTTTAATTGCAAAGTACGAAAGTGGAGTGCGTGTGTCGGAGCTGGTCAGGTTGTATAGTAAACCCAATCAAAACCCTCTTACTATAGTGAGCAAGGGAAAAAGGCAATCAAGGAAGCTGTTCTTGCAAAAGGTGCAACTGTGAATTACGAAACAGCGACCGCAAATGTTAGAAAAAAGTTGAGAGACTGTATTGATGTGGTAAATGAAAAACAGATTAGCAGGAGATAGCATCTCTCAAGCAATCATTTGTGAAAAAGGGTAGGCAATTGCATGACGATTTGGTAAAAAAATTGCCGGCAACTAGTGGGGATGTGATTGAAATTTAAGGCCAGCAAAGGTTGGTTTGAAAGATTTTTAAGAACGTTTGTGGCATACATAGTGTGATTAGGCATTGTGAGGCTGCCAGTTATGTTGTGCGACAGAGGTCCAATGACTCTCAAGCTGGTCCTAGTGGCATTAAAAGAAGAAGGGAAGTAACCCTGGAAAAGGACTTCTACCCCAAGTCCTAATGGAGGGGGATTCCTCTTCTAAATGCTAAAAACCATCCCCACTCACCCTCCTCCCATCCCATCAATCTCACCAGATCTTCATTTTAAAGGTAAGTGTCAATTATTCTTTCGTTATTTATTGTTATTGTTGTAATTACTATTCTATTGGATTAAACTTAATATTTCATGTGGTAAAAGTTTTTTTTTCATACTTTTGAGTGTCTTGCACGGATTAATTTGATTTCCCTTATTTCTTATGGGGAAAATTGATTCGCTTTCCGATATTTTTGGTTTACGATGAGCTCTCAGGAACGGATTAGTATCGCGAACCGGAGGTCCACTGTACTTGCAACATCTGCCACATTGCTTCCCTGTCCACTCTATCATATGCCTTTTCTAAATCCATAAATGCAATAAAAACTTCCCTACCTTTATCTAAATACTGTTCACATATATGCTTCAATATAAACACTTGATCTACACATCCCCTACCCACTCTAAAACCACCTTGCTCATCCGCAATTCTACATTCTGTCTTACCTCTAATTCTTTCAATAATAACCCTACCATACACTTTTAAATCACTGCCTACGTTGAACAGTAAATAAGAATGTGGATACATAACTGTGATTGATTTGAAGGGTTTTCTTATGTTTGCAGCTTGGCTGGGGGCCAAGTTTCCTTGTTGATTGTATGCTCAATAAGAACATGAAAAATTATGAGAATACTTTCATCTGTAGAAACAAGTGAACTACACTTTCCTAGTATGTCATTTTCACTAAGGTTAACTGTTATTATACTTGATTGCAAATCTCCTTGGTTGTATAGAATAAACATTTCTTTGTAATATTTCACAGTCTGCCTATAATAGGACATGCAATAAGCTTTTATTTGTAAGTATGGAGTGTGTAATCATAATTTTGTTTGCAACTGGGTATATTTACTTACAAAAGTATTTTTGTATTATAGAAAGCAAGTATACTATATACAGTAGTTCTCAATTTCATAAGAATAAACTGTTTTCAATATGCAGTAGTCATTTGGCATTATGCCAAAATTAGTCTCCACTTACATTGCTTACTATCTTGAGCTTCATTTATTAATCTGAATACTTCTTTAAAATCTAAGCAATGAAGTTAATATAACAAAAATTTCCTTTCACCTTGGTATGACTTGCTTTTACATTAATACCAACAACTAATATTTATATTTTTTCCATCCAGAAATTCTCCAGAAAAAATACCTACTCAGTCTAGTACACCAAGTCCAGTAAATACGCAGAAGTCAACCCCAAAGTCACTGCCAAAAGAGCTCTCACCAAAATTTCAGGAAGGCATAACAGCCTCTAAAGTTGTACGTAAACCCATTGTGAAGCCCACAGAAAAGGTGCTTTGTCCAAAGCCAGTCGAGAAAATAACTAACAAATCAGCAGAGAAAGTGATGATAAAAGCAGATGACAGATTTTTTACTAGGCCTTCTGAGAAACCAAGTGTAACAACTATAGAGAGTGTACCAATTAAACCCCAAGAAAAACTACTTACCAAAGCTCTGGAGAGGACAGCAACAAAGCCTTCTGAAAAGACCGGAACCCGACAGCCAGAACGCTCAGCAACCAGAGTTCCTTTAAGACTTCCCCAACGTACTACAGAGAGAGTGAATCAGAGAAATGGAGGAACATTGCCTATTACTACAGGAAATAGGGTAATATGAACATTGTTATTATAATCCTCATAAATTTTGTGTATTATAAATATGATTTATATAATCCTGGACTTGTATTCAAATTTTAATTAGTGCTAATTTTCGTAAAGCATGCGTCTATAATATTCTGTTCAACTGTTGATTTACTTGTTATAACTTTCTTGGCTTTTTGAAAATTGGTGAGGCGGTCAAAATTTCTCATATGTATAAACATAACATTAAATTCTTGCCCAGTTCTAATTTTGTATTTATGATGCTGTAATCTTAGTGTTGACGATGTCAATACTTGGAATTGATTTAAAATTGTTATTTGTATAATTTTTAGTGATAGAATAACTTTCTTTTTTTCATGTTGGTTTAAACTGTAGCTGTACTGAAGCCTGAACTTTTGTGGTTTTCAGGTTTCTTCGACTAATGGAGTGCGATCAATGACTGGCGCCAGCAGTAGAAAACTTCTTAAGAAGAAAAGAAAGTGTCAGTCAGAGGCTACATGGGATCTTTCACAATTAGTTCCTCTAGATACAGGTAAGGAAGTGGCTGCCATTTTTAAATGATGAAATCAGTCTTCAAAGGCAAATTATTCTACAAGGAAAAATTTTCTGTTTAATTAGGTATACCCATAAGGTTGGATACTTATAGTAGTTCAGTTATTTATTTTTTTCTCTAACTAATTTAAATGCATTTTCAGATTAACATTAAACTTTTCGTTCTTGTTTATCTTAAGAAAATGAAGGTTCATGTTCTTAGTGAACAAATTTCTGCAATAAATGTCTGATCAGCCAGGTTGTGATGACTGTATAGGCCTGCAGTCTGCTGGCAGCATCTACCTAGTTGCTCATGTAGTCAGCAAGGAAATTGGAATTCTGGTTGGGTTGCAAGGGTGAAAGAACTCTTAAAACCATTCTTAGTTATGTCACAAGTGTGATAACTCATGAAATGTATTCTTTCCCAAGATAAAATTAAAACATGGGAAAATGTTTGAACTTGTCTTTAAAATCTTTGGAGAACTAATCAACTAAGATGTGTTATCTACCCTGAAGTGAGAAGTAACTCTGTCCCCACAAGCTCAAATTAGGTAGTCACACACACTGTTAAAATAATTCTTTTATGTTAGTTCTAACACTAAGAAAAAACACCTATATATTTCTTCTTATTCAGAGCTTGGCTTTAATGAGAAGCAGCAACTGGCCCATGGGGTGTTGTTGCGACTGCTCCGTGTCACTAGCCATTTACCTATGATAGAGTTTAGCCATGCCCTGGACACGCTAGAGACCCTCGCAGATGCATATCAGCTGGAGCAGCGAGTCAACCTTACCATTAGCCACGACCATGAGGAAGGTCAGTTTCCACTGAAATCTTGGAGTGGTCATGTTATTGCACAATATTGTTCTTTACTGTCATTCTTCAAGTATAAACTGTATTCAATAAATTTTGTCTTTTACTTTGGCAATATCAGTATTTATGAATCTTGAGTATCAAAAGTTCTTATTTCAGATTTTTGCTTCCATATCTATGTGCAGACATACACAAAATGTAAGAGTAGATTGGTATAGAGTAAAGACACAACGAATGCTTTTGGGCAGGGTAATATAATGTTACATAATTCATAAGTCAACTGGAAGGTGATCATTTGAGTGATTTCAGCAAGTTTTCACTTATAAGGTTTTTTATGCCTATGTTGATTATGTCTATCCTGTAATTAGTGGATGGAGGATTAGCTTCCACCATTCCATAGACTGAATGATCCACAAGGGTTTGGCCCTTCACGTGCAGTATAATTTTTTTTTTCAACAAACTGGCCATATCCCACCAAGGCAGCTTGATCTAAAAAGAAAAGCAAAGTTTTTCTTTTTAAATCTAGTAATGAATATGGAAGAAAGGGTTACTAGCCCCTTGCTCCCAGCATTTTAGTAGCCTCTTATGGTACACATGGCTTACGGAGGAAGAATTCTGTTCCACTTCCCCATGGAGATGTATAGTGTATACTTTTTTTTTTTTTTAACAAGTCAGCCATCTCCCACCAAGGCAGGATGACCCAAAAAGAAAGAAAATCCCCAAAAAGAAATTACTTTCATCATCATTAAACACTTTCACCTCACTCACACATAATCACTGTTTTTGCAGAGGTGCTCAGTATACAACAGTTTAGAAGCATATACATATAAAGATACACAACATATCCCTCCAAACTGCCAATATCCCAAACCCCTCCTTTAAAGTGCAGGCATTGTACTTCCCATTTCCAGGTCTCGAGTCCGGCTATATAAAAATAACCGTATATAGTGTATAGTGTATACTTATGTTATTTTTCAATATGAATCTGTGATGCAGGCAATTTTTTTTTATTTTCAGAGTGCAACAAATTATACAATGACCCATATGAAGTTGTGGATCTTGTAGATGATGACAATGATCATTACTATGAGTATGGAAATGGTGTTAGTTCCACAACAGTTGATCACAGAGTGACTATCACACAAGTTGATGGGCCCAATGACATTTTCTTAACTAGTGAGCATGAAAAAGTAGGTAGTAAACGGCATCGGCAAGGGCAGAAACGATCTGCTACTGCTGAAAATTTATTAATTAACAATGAGGATCGTCAAAACATTAATTTTGACTCGGTCCAGATGTGGAAAATATCAAGGAGCTCTTCATAATATTGCCCTTTATAAATATTTTCTTATGTACTGTTCCATAAACTTATAAGTTATAATTTATTGTTTTAAAATATAATAAGTTTGCAAATGACTGAAGTGAAATACTAGTATTATAATATAAAGTGCTCATACAGTTTTTAATCTAGGAAGAGGCTTTGAAAATCCATAGAAGATTGTATATATAAAAGATATCTCACATTGATTGAAACTACTACAGTACCAGGAATTGGAAAACCGGCTTATTTAATTGCTTAGGATATAATAAAAATTGTTCTTTAACTCAAAATGGTGAGAAAGAATGATGAGCCTCACTGCCAGATATTCAACTCACATTTTAGTCTTACATTTTTTCATGCTACTTTGTTTACTCAGTTGTTATATTTTTACTTCTTTTACCTGCATCTTGTGTACCCGTTGTGCTCTCCATTTTTGCTTTCTTTAATCCTGTCTTAACATCTTCCCTCTAGGTTTTCACACCCACCTTCCTTACTGTTTATCTGGCATCACTGTTACTTCACATTCATCTTTACATGCACATGCTGGTTTTACTCTTATTATACTCTATTAGATTTTTAATTTTATTAAATCCTTTCCTCTTCTTTGCTTAAAACATAAGCTGTGCCATTCACTCTATGCATAGCTGCAGATGGACCTTTTTTTTTTAAATGTGCAGTGCTTGTCATTAAAGTATGTCAGCTCCCTTGAAAATCATGACCACAAAATAGGTTGTTCCTTGAACTTTAGAACATTTTTCATCCATCTAGGTAGTGATTAACACACACTGTAGGGTTTCGTGGGGTAAGTACTTCCACGACTCGTGGATGGTGTCTTAAAGCCATGGGCATATGCTAATATCTTTCTCCAAGTGGATATCTATCTATCTGTATCTATCTATCTGTCTCTCTCTCTGTCTATCTCTATCTGTCTCTCTGTCTATCTCTATCTGTCTCTCTGTCGTCTGTCTATCTATCTATCTATCTTTTTCTTCTTTCAACACACCAGCCGTATCCCACCAAGGCGGGGTGGACCAAAAGGAAAAACAAAAGTTTCTCCTTTTACATTTAGTAATACATACAGGAGAAGGGGTTACTAGCCCCTTGCTTCTGGCATTTCAGTCACCTCTTACAACACGCATGGCTTACAGAGGAAGAATTCTGTTCCACTTCCCCCTGGAGGTAAGAGGAAATAAACAAGAACAAGACCTAGTAAGAAAATAGAAGAAAATCTAGAGGGGTGTATATATATATGCTTGTACATGTATGTGTAGTGTGACCTAAGTGTAAGTAGAAGTAGCAATACGTACCTGAAACCTTGGATGTTTATGAGACAAAAATGGACACCAACAATCCTACCATCATGTAAAACAGTTACAGGCTTTCGTTTTACACTCACTTGGCAGGACGGTAGTACCTCCCTGGGCGGTTGCTGTCTACCAACCTACTACCTATATCTCTCTCTCTCTCTCTCTCTTTCTCTCTCTCTCTCTCTCTCTCTCTCTCTCTCTCTCTCTCTCTCTCTCTCTTTCTGTCTCTCTATCTCTGTCTCTCTCTGTCTGTCTCTCTCTGTCCCTCTCCTCTCTCTCTCTCCGTCTCTCTCTCCCCTCTCTCTCTCTCTCTCTCTCTTCTCTCTCCCCCTTTTCTCTCTCTCTCTCCTCCTCTCTTTTTTTTTTTTACACAGGGTTTGACAAGGGTTTAAAGGGTCCCTAGCTTTATTGACAGCTATTTACCCGGTTAAGGATTCCTAACTTTATTGGCAAGCTAAGAGCTGTTACCTACATCAGCTCATTTGAAAGCATTTTTATGTTATGAGACATACAAGTAGGAAACAGGATGAAGTTGGAGCCATCGTGGGCCAGCATTTTCATTTGATCAACTGACTTTATCTCGTTGACATCATTATGCTGTACGAATGTGTTCCATACTCTAGTCATCCTGGGGAGTATGATCTCAGATGGAGTGATGTTCTGGAGAAGGTACAGCCAAAAGGGGGAAGTTTTCTGCTTTCTGCCCGTCTTGTGGCATAAAAGCTTGTTTCACGCTGTCCTTGAAGTGGATCCAAGTGTGGTATTTTGACAAAATTGGCCTTGTACATAACAGTAAGGCCACCCACATCCCTCCTATGTTGAAGGCTCTGCTGAAATGACAGATCTATCCAGGATGGGTCCAGGCGAGAGATGAGACGTCTTGCTCTGTTCTCTACTCTGTCAAACAGTCGCAGATGAGAGGGGGGGCAGGCAAACCAAAAAAAGTGGAGCATACTCAAGGTGTGAGCGTACTTGTGCCTCGTACAGGATCTTGCAACCCCTACTGTCAAGCAGATGGGAGATACGGCGAAGTGCTGTAAGCTTCCTGGCTGCCTTGTTTGCAAGATTTACAACGTGGTTCTTCATGGTTAGTTTGGAGTCAAATTTCACCCCAAGGGATACTCAACTTCCCTTCTCCAGGTGCCAACCCACCATCCTCCCATTCATCCTTACTACTCGCACCAGCATACCATCATGGTTCCTAGAGACGATCATCATTTGCGTTTTCTCTCTCTCTCTCTCTCTCTCCTCCTCTTCCTCTCTCTCTCTCTCTCTCTCTCTCTCTCTCTCTCTCTCTCTCTCTCTCTCTTTCTCTCTCTCTCTCTCTCTATCTCTCTCTCTCTCTCTCTCTCTCTCTCTCTCCTCTCCTCCCTCCTCTCTCTCTCTCTCTCATCTTCTCTCTCTTATCTTTCTCTCTCTCTCTCTCTTCTCTCTCTCTCTCTCTCTCTCTCTCTCTCTCTCTCTCTCTCTCTCTCTCTCTCTCTCTCTCTCTTTCTCTCTCTCTTCTCTCTCTCCTCGTCTTTCTCTCTCTTTTCCTCTCTCTCTCTTCTCTCTCTTCTCTCTCTCTCTCTTTCTCCTCTCCTCCTCTCTCTCTCTCTTTTCTCTCTCTCTTTCTCTCTCTCTTTTTTCTCTCCTCTTTCTCTCTTTCTCTCATCTCTTTCTCTCTCTCTCTCTTCTCTTCTCTCTCTCTCTCTCTCTCTCTCCATCCTCTCTCTCTCTTCTCTCTCTCTCTATCTCTTCTCTTTCTATCTTCTTTCTCTCTTTCCTCTCTCTCTTCACTCTCTCATCTCTCTTTCTCTCTCTCTCTCTCATTTCTCTCTTCTTTCCTCTCTTTTTCTCTTTTCTCTCTTCTTCTCTCTCTCTTTCTCTCTCCTTTCCTCTTTCTTCTCTCTCTCTCTTCTCTCTCTCTTCTCTCTCTCTTCTCTTCCTCTCCTCTCTTCTCCTCTCTCTTTCTCTCTCATCTCTTCTCTCTCTCTTTCTCTCTCTCTTTCTCTCTTCTCTCTCTCTCTCTTCTCTCCTCTCTCTCTCCACTCTCTCTCTCATCTCTCCTCTCTCTCTCCTCTCTCTCTCTCTCTCTCTCTCTCCTCTCTCTCTCTCTCTTTCTCTCTCTCTTCTCTCCTCTTTCTCTTTCTCTTCTTCCTTTTCTCTTTCTCCTCTCTCTCTCTCTCTCTCCTCTCTCTCTCTCTCTCTCTCTCTCTCTCTCTCTCTCTCTCTCTCTCTCTCTCTCTCTCTCTCTCTCTCTCTCTCTCTCTCTCTCTCTCAGCCCAAGGTTCTCATTGGGTTCAGTGCTGGGGAATTTCTTTTCCAGTCATCAAAGAAGGGTATTTCACAACAGTTTTCATAGTGTTGCAAGGAGTTCTGTTTTGCATAAGAACCTTGCACCAAACTGAGTGAAAGATTCTGGCACATGATAACAGACCATTTCTAGGTATGTTAACACAGTTAATGTTAGTGGCAATGTTTTTTAGGTTTCTATGGACCTGCTGTTGGTGTGGACATTTTATGAACACTCCTCATGGAACCAATGCAACCAGGTCCTCACTGGACACTCACACACTTCGCTGGCTTCTACTATTCCTTCATTTGATGGCCTGCTTTACGTGATTCAATGTTATCTGCAATTGTCTCTTGTATCAATGACTTACCTGCTCATATTAGTTAACAGTAGCCAAACATCTGACAAACTTGGTCCTCAAGACCACACAATGCAAGGGGACCATGGACAAAAACCTGTGAGCCATATAAGCCCAAAAAGGACTTAGGATGTAGCTAGTAGCCATAGGGAATCTTAAGACATCCAGCTTAGAGCTGCCAGGCCAGTATAACCTTTTGTCTCATTGACAAATGTAGGGTATTACTTTAGACATTAAATTGCATTGGGTGTCTTCCTCCTATCATACATTAATGATGAGCACTGTAAATGCCTCCAATTTTTGAAGAATATACATGTGAATATACCATGTGAATATACATGGTACAATGTGTATGCTAATTTATATTAATTATAAATAATTACTTATATACTGTACTATAAACATGGCATTCATCTGTGACTGTGATGATGGCAGTTTTTAATGTTCAGTCTCATCTTTATTTTATCAAATTTCGGTATGCCACCTGAGTATTGGTGTAGTTGCACTAAATACTGTGTTCAATCTTGTAATTATTAGTAACAGATAACATCTCTGTTTGCAAATGATTGGTATAAAGAGTATTAATATTTTTGAATGTGGCTTTGCAAAAGCTTGTTATCTACATATACATCCATACAATTGTTGGTTTTTGTATCTAGTAGTATTCTCATTCACTTAAGCTGTGGGTGTTTGTAAACTTTGTGAACCAGCTGTTGCAAGATGTTTGCTTTTGTAAATGTTGGAAAGTAAATGGTTTGATGATGCCAACAAGATATGGAAAAAGACTTTATGTACAGTTCTGAATATTTTTTTAAAGGATATGTTTTGCCATGAGGGGATTCTTTATTAGGACTGAAGAATTAACTTGTGGCAAAATGTTTCCCTTAATAAATACCCAGAACTGTACATAGTGACTTTTTCCACATTTTGTAAATGTTGTCATATGGACAGTATTTTTCTATTATTTTCCAGCATAGTTTTAAATTTTTATGTAAAACATCTGTCTAGAGCTGGCTGTGGGAGGCTCTTTTCTTCCTCTTCACTAGACTGATCAATGACCAGTATAATACTAGTCTTATTTTTTTTTTTTTTAAGTCCAGCCTGTCTAAGGTACTGTATACTAGCACCTCCTAAGGTATGACTCGCTTTGGTCAGCTAACACTGAAGTACCTATTTACTGTAGGTGAACAAAGGCAGCAGGTTTAAGGAATCTTTTCCATACATTTTACCCAGCCAGGGAATCTAACTCGGGGTTCTTTTAAGATTCTTTTTTCTATACTATAAATTAAAGTTTTTGTAATTTTTAAGAAGGTAACAAATGTTTAATGTGGTCTATTATGTAAATCTAGATATGCTTGGATTAGAGCATCATAAACATTAATCAACAAAAAGTAAAAAACAACTTGCACAGAAAAAGGAACACCGATGAAACAAACCTGTTCACCGTATTTTGGCCTCCTCTTTATCTTATCTGTATCTGATGAGGAGTCTCTTAGGCGAAAATATACTTATCTTTCTTATTTCAAACACTTCCATATCTCCTTAGAGCTGAGAGCTGGGGAGCATACCCCATGATGCAACCGATATTACTCTTCAATCTACCACACCTGTATTTATTTTTTCTGCCTAAATCTAGATACATTCTGATCTCAGAAGCATTTGGGATACTGTAATTATCCCTGTTGGAATAAATGAACTGACAATCGAGAGGAACAGGTGTGTTGTGCCTTACAGAGCACATAGTAAACATTATTGAAAACTGACCTCTGTAACCTTGCCTTTAACATAGCCATTATTAATAGTGGCATTTTAGATGTAAAGTAAAAGAATTGTTTTCATTGTAGAGAATAAATATTTTTATAATATTAAATGGATATGTTGGCAACTTCAAACATTCTAATCACTATAGTGTTTTTAAAAAAAAAAACCATACCACGGGTGGGGTTTGAACCCGCGGTCAGAGAGTCTCAGAACTCCAGACCATCGCGTTAGCCACTGGGCCAGCTAGCTTCGATAAGATTCGTCCAACTAGGTATATTTCTACACCATAGGAAGGTTAGCGTAGGCACCACTGTGTCCACAAATGCAAGTTTTTGCAGACGAATCTCCCGCTAGCATGGCCGTGACGAACTCTAGCTCAAGTCCCCTCAAAGCCGTCAACATAACTCACGAAATCATAATGACACGATTGCAAACAAACCATACCACAGGTGGGGTTTGAACCCGTGGTCAGAGAGTCTCAAAACTCCAGACCGTCGCGTTAGCCACTGGGCCAGCTAGCTTCAATAAGATTTGTCCAACTAAGTATATTTCTACACCATAGGAAGGTTAGCATAGGCACCACTGTGTCCACAAATGCAAGTTTTTACAGACGAATCTCCCGCTAGCATGGCCGTGATGTACTCTAGCTCAAGTCCCCTCAAAGCCGTCAACATGACTCACGAAATCGTAATGACACGATTGCAAACAAACCATACCACGGGTGGGGTTTGAACCCGCAGTCAGAGAGTCTCAAAACTCCAGACCATTATGTTAGCCACTGGGCCAGCTAGCTTCAATAAGATTCG